TAATTATGTAGCTTTGGACAAACTACACAATTCTTACATGTATAAAATTATGAAATTTAAACATATTACGGGTCACTTTCTTCCACCAGGAGTGTAGAGATCAGATAATAAGAAATTTGAACTTCAGTGACTTATTTTCAAAGACGACAATAATTGAGAGGAATGTTCAGAAGTAAATGATGTAAATATAAAGACAGTTTTTCAATAGTCTAAAGCGAAATTAAAAATAAAAAAGAATAGCATAACAGACCCACTGAAAATTAGAAAATAGCATCTTCTCTAGGGTACTATGTTAAAACAACACATATTATCCCTTTTCTGAAATACCTCTGTCTGGCAACCAAGTAAATGCTGAAGTACTAGAGGCTGAATTAACATACATATTTTTAAATTCTACATCAAATATTGTCTCTAATTCAAGTTATGGCTAAAACAGAATGAATACATATAAGATTTGGTTACTTGTAATTCTAAAAAGAGGAATTCAAACCACATTTCTCTACATTTCTTTAAAAGTTCATTTTCAACTCCCATCAACTAACATTTTCTATAAAGAACGTTACAAAAATATGTCATAGTATGTCAAAATAAAAATAGTTGTTACTCATAGTATGGCTCTTTACCAGAAAGATAAATTTTGGTACTTCCTACCTTTTAAAGAGTTTTATATTAATGCATTGGCAAATTTTATGTATAGATCTTGGCACAAAGGAAGATAAGTTCACCCATTTCACTAACAGCTGGGCAAACTTTGAGCCTCTACATAAATGATTCTGCAAGATATACTCCTGACATTACCCAAAGCTATATAATCACAGTAGTAACAGGTAGCAGAATGGTATTTAAAAGTTTATCCTTCTCTTTAACAATATATAACATAATATCATTATGTAGCATAGATATGATCATATATATGCATATGATAATTCATTTCCAAGTATGCCATTCTTAAAAAAAGGAATTTTTCTGATACATTGCTAAAGGAATTTTCCTGATACATTCACTTAAAGAAAATTTAATTGAATTTTTTTTTTTACTTTTTTTTGTTTCTTAAAATTAAGAATTCATCAAACACACAAAAATTGAAACGTAATAGACAATTATACTAAGCTTTCTGGCAGCAAAGATATAACTATGGTAACACTACCATAGTTGTTTTAGATAAATATACAATATAAATTAAAATTTTACTTTCAGAAATTTGTTCTGAAATTAAATTTATGTAGTTAAAAGTACAAAATTTATCTCTAAGCATAATCTTTACAGAAATGTCATGTAGTAACTTTCCCATATTAAAAACTTTGATGAAAACAACTTTGTTTTAAAATTAAAGTGATATGGACTATGGAAATGACACTTCTGAAATTCTTAAGTTTTATATTATGAGTAATATGATTGCTTCTTTTAAAAAATTGTCAGAATGGGTAATAATCAAGATCAAGAATGCAAATATTAATATTACTTAACATAATAATACCTCTTCAAATTATTCAATATGCCACTTCTAATTTCCAAATCATGTATATGAGGTGCAATGGTAATCTGAAGCTCGAAGCTGTTTAGTACATTTTTACAAAATAGTTTTTGATTATTGCTGAACATTTAGAAATTTCCTAAGTTTAGTAAGATTTGAGTACTACCATCTAAATGAAAAATAACAACTGGATGTTATTTTCTGAAGGACTTTAGGACAAAAGAGGAGTTCCAGGATTTTTTCTACTAAGGCAATTGATGGCAGTAACTAGAGTTTCCATTATGGAAAGGGGAGCCAGGTGCTTAAAAGGATGATTCAGGGACCTGTGAAATATGCTCAGAAAGAAGGGATGACAGGGAGGGACAGATCTACCTGGCTACGTGATCTGAACACTTTAAAAAAAATCTGACATTTTTTCATTAATTTTTTTAAAACTGTACTTTCTATGTTTCCTACTTTAGTAGGAAATGAAGTAGCCGGAAAACCATTTTTTAAATTATTCATTTTTCTGATAGATTAAATGATGAGCTATATAGTAAACACAGTCAAGTTATAGTCTAATGATATATTTGATATTTCAAGGAGCAAATAAAATGGTTATTAGTTCTAAGATAGACACACTCAGTTCTTCAGATCAAAAAAACAACTGAACATTGTTTAAAATAATCAAGAAGCCACAGATGATTCAGCCAGTCCTCAATGGCAAAGCTCTTGGTTATTTATTCTCATGTAGATAATGTTTATATGAGCTGAAACTTCTGGTAATCACTGTTTACAACCACGTTTTCACATCTATTATCATTAATTGATGAACATTTAGCTCCATAAAAAGGGCTCAGATAATATAATGGAAAAACTCTTGATAATCATTTAGACATAGTTGGCTTTTAGCTTCAACTATTATTTCCCAGAAAGTTTACACCTTAAACTTCATTCTCCAAGCATAGAACTACAGCCTAAATGATACAGTTTGGTAATGGCTTTTGTTGAATATTTTGTATTATTAAATAACTGTTGAGTCACAAAGATGGCACCAGAAAGGCGGGGCTTATAAGAATCTATGTCTTCAGGGTACAGTACAAAATAAGTATATTTTTAGGAGAAATTAAAGACATTTTCCTATGAAATACTGTTATATTATAAAACATATGATTTGTCAGTTGTCCATATATGTTTTCATTTTGATTACATCGACATTTTCACATCTTAAAAGTATGACTACCATATTCCATCAGGATCATTAAATAGCTTAACTTCCCAAAAATTAAAGTGTTCAACTTCAATGAAGCTAAGTCTTTAAAGTAACTCCGACTTAGCTTCCTAGTTCTGAGAAACTGTGTGTATTTAATGCTTCTAATCCACTTACCTATGGAACATGTGAACTAAATCCACTGCATAGATTTTACTCAGGCATTATGAACCAATCTCTTAAATTATTTCAAAAAATAAGTGCTTTGAAGTATTTTATTTACATAATAAAAAATTGTCACTAATGTTGAATGTTTTCTCATTTTTTTCCTTGAAAGGAAAATAAGCTTCATAATAAAACAAAAAAAAAATTGGAAAGTCATTTCCAGAAACAAGTTTTAAAATAATGCTCACTTCTCAACTCCAGTATAGAAATACTAGCGACATGAAATTAGAATTCTCATCAACATTCATTTCATACCTATAGTCAATCATACAGATACTATATAGCATTGCAATGACTCACTGATACCTCATAAAAAAACACGGCCATATATACCAAATTTTTGAAGTGTATTTCATTTTCATAGTTCTCTTTTCCTATTAAAACAGAATCCTCTTTTTTTATTCATGTGTGCTTCTGATTTGATGTCCTGATAGTGATTTGTACTACCCATTTGTCCCTAATCAAGATTTCAAGCTACAAAATGACAGACAACAAAAACCTCTTTGATAAAGAATAAGCACCTACCCTGCGAAGGCATTCTGCATCATCCTTATAAACTGTCACATATTTACAAACAAGATAAAAGGGAAATATAAGAAAAAGAACATGGATTTTCACTAATTCATTTTCTAAATGTACCAGTAGGTCTTTAAAAATATATGAGACTTAATAAAAATCATAAATCATTGTATTTTTCTTTACCACAATTTCTTGTTTAACTTAGCCTAAAATTCTTCATATATAAAATATTCCATTAGTTGGCCATATGACATGAGAAATTCTGTACAACACAATATGTCTAATAAAATTAAGTCAACTTTAACCACAATGTCATTTAAAGAAGCCAATTAAATTATCCAGAAACACAAAGCTTAAAGAGTAGCCTTGGGAATAACTTTTTTCTTATAGCCATTACCAAATCCTCACTGAGCTGATTACCTATGCAAGAATAGTAGCATAAAGCTGAAAAAAGGCACTAACCTCACTCCCTAGCTTATCTAAGAACTCATAAAAGTAAAAGGCTCTAACCATTTTATTTTATTAGATTCTCTAATAAGTAAAATGCTGCTACTTTTCTGCAGTTTGATTAACATTATTAATCATTTGACTCCTTTCCTTTTTTCGACTACCTAAAAAATCTTAATTCTAGCCCTAGAAGTCTATGAAAAACAATATGAATTCAGAAATTTGTCCCTTTGGTTGTAAAACTTCATTATCCTCCCAAAAAAGAATGCCCAGAAAAATCTTAAAAGGAAATTAGGACTCCACATTTCATATTACAGCCAGCCCTGGTGACCATCAATCTTACCAGATACTGCTCTATCTTCTGTGTGTTTTTAATGGGTGTGGGCCCATTGCCTGATGGGATCTTTACATTCTAAAAAAAAAAATGTGTGGATGACAGTCTTTTGCTTCTTTTTTTGAAACTATGAACCTAGAGTTTGAAATATGTTGCAAATTTAATTCCACTGCATATTGTAGAGTTGATCAGTTTCAGCTCTGATATTCTAAAACACTGAATAACCTATCAACCTAAAGTGCATACATATGAATATGTGCATACATATAAAATACTTTGATAATTACATCTCCAATCTATGTTTTACAATGTAAAATAAGAATTATGGTTCTTAGAGGAAAAATGCACACCATAAGTATCTATTCATATGAAAACAATAGTTCAAATATACCTGGAAACTTTTCCTTTAAATGCATTAAGGCACTTTCTAGGCATTTCAATATACATTGTATACATTTGTGTCTTTATTAGGGCATAGATTTTTTTTCGTTGTCATAATATTTGTATATATTAATATAAATATTGCTAATACTTTCATATATTCAGGAATTCTAAAATTTCTTTGTATCTTTATAAATCCTTTCAGGCATCAATGCTCAACATCTGCCAGCAGTTTCTTAATACTTCAACCTGTGTTTTATACTCATTTCACAGATCCAAAGAGTTTTGCCAAACCATTTAGATAATGCTTCTTCTCTAAACTCACTTAGAAAAGAAAAATACATGATTTCCCCTGAATTATCGTATCACCTTAACGGGTCCACAATCACCCCACCCACACCCAACCTCCATCCCATTTTCCACGATGGCACTTACCCCAGTGTCGTCATCGTGACGATGGTGTACCAGAAGGCTGCCGGGATGCTGGTGAACTTGCTAGCCGAAGACCCCTTCTCAGCGTAGAACATAACGGTAGCGAAGATGATGATAGCCATGGTGAGCGAAAAAAGCAAGAAGCCCAATTCTGAGGCACAGCTCTTCAGTGTGTACCCCAGGATGCGCAGGCCTTGAGAGTGGCGGGAGAACTTGAAGATCCTGAAGACCCGGAAGACACGGAGTGTGACAAAGGCTCCGCTGACGTCTTCATTGTCTGTCATCACCAGCCCAATGTAGTAAGGTAGGATGGCCACCACGTCGATGATGCTCATGACACTACGCACAAAACGGTACCGACTGGGCGCTGCAGCCAGGCGCAGCAAGTACTCGACGGTGAAGATCATGACGCAGGCCGTGTCCAAGCAGAAGAAGGCCACGGCATACCGCTCCCCGCAGGGCAGTTCTTTAATGTGACCTGGGCTCGACCCGCACGGCACTGTCTCCACCACATTCGCGATGACAGACACGGCAATGAAAAACCCCGTGACGTAGTAGAACACCAGGGCCATCGTGCTGGTGTGAGGGTTCTCGAAGGCCCGCCAGACCCTCTGCCTTGCCGTCATGGTGGGCAACGCGCTCTCGCCCGTGGTGTCGGTATCCGCGTCGTCCTGCAGGCGCTCGGCATTCTCTCGCCTGCGATCCTTGTACTCCTCATAACAGCAGTCGCCGATGATCTCCGGGATGAGGCCAAAGAAGGCCAGTTCTTCATCGTAAGCAGAGATGCACTCGTGGCGAGGGTAGTGGAGCTTCCCAGTGCGGTAGAAATTCAGGATGTGGCGGAAGATGTCTGGGTCACGGTCAAAGAAATACTGCTGAGTCTCTGGGTGGTAGAAAAAGTCCCTCTCAGAACTGCCCAGTAGAGTGTCTGGGTAACGTTCCAGGGTGTCCTGCCACGTCTGGAAGCGGGTGCCACTCACATTCAGCACAATGAGAGCATCTTGGGTCCTTTTCCTCTCCTGCCTCGGGGGAGCCGGCATGGGTCCCGAGGCCACAGGCATCCACCCGATGGCCGCCGCCCTTGCAAAAGGCAGCCACGCTGCCACGCCCGCCGCCATGGTTCTTTGAAGAGGAGGCACGAAGGATACCGAGGCGTCTACACTGGGTCAATCGAGGCAGCCACAGTCACCCACGTCCTCCAGTCAAACAAAGTACCAGTGAGAAACGTGGTCCAGAGGGGTCACTGTGACTCCAAGGTAGGGCTCCTGGTGGAGTCACAGTTCTCAGAAGGGCAAGTTTCCCTCCAAGACAGGTATTTGCAATAATAACAACAAGATACAACGTCCTAACAATCACCCTCGACAAAACCTAGGCAAACCTCTTCCAGCAGGTGGGCCAGGTCACCCTCTGGCACAAATAAGCACACAGGTGCAGCCGTTTCTGCAAACAGGTGTCTTCGATTTCTCCCCTCGCACAGTCTGGATAATATGGGGTCAGTATGTGGAGTGTAGGATAGAGAAGACGAACGAGAGTCACCCAATATAATTCTTTCCACGAATTAGGGAACCCTTCCAACTACCCTTCTCACTCTTTCAAACCTTCCTTTCCAAGTAGCCCTTCCCGCCAAAGGAGTCTCAAAAAGGCGACCTGTTGTTGTAGCTCAGGGGATGCGGTCACAGCCGCTGCCCCACGTCTCTCTTTGGGGGTCCAGCTGCTGCCTCTACTCCTCGGGCTGTATTTGCAGAGATTGAGGTGATGTGCCAAGGGGCACGGTGGGGGGCGTTAACGGATCCTCCTCCCCCACGACTACAAACACCCTCTGTGTCTGCCAAAAGCGTTCGCCCAATCGCCCCTTCACTCTCTTTTCAAGTTCAGCTCAGGTGCAGTGTGACAGTTACAGAGCCCAGGAGCTGGCAGCCGCCGCCGCCGTGGCGGCAGCAGCATCTGCCTCCGCGCGGAACGCGCCGCGCCCGCGGTACATACCTGGCCAAGCGCGCGCCGGGGCTGAGTTGCAAAGAGACTTTCTCCTCGCCGTGCACCCGGAAAGGGAAGAGGAGAGAACGCAGCTCGCGAGCAGCTGAATCCGATGCGCCGAGGGAGCATAAATAAAGCTCAAGCGAGCTCTTCTTCCCCTTCCCCCATCCCTCCGTGCTTCCCTCCTCCTTTTCACCTTCCAAAAGCCAGGCGCAGGCGAGCAGAGCAGCAGCAACAAGTTCAAAAGGTGCGGGGGAGGCGAGAACGGAGGGGACCCGCTCCTGCCAACTTACTGCGGGGCCACTGTCGCGGGGGCCTGGCCGGCGCGGTTCGGGGCTGCGGGGCGGCGGGGCTGCGGGGCTGCCGGGCGGGCGGCGGCGGCGGCGCGACGGGGCCGGGGCCGGGGCCGGGGCCGGGGCCGGGGCCGGCACGGGCTCTCGTCCGAGCGCGGAGGCAGAAGGCGCTCGGCAGCGCGGGGGCGCGGGAGGGCTGCTCGCTGCTTCCCCGCCAGTGGGTGGTCCCGCATCTCCCCGGGCTCCCCGCGCTGCTCTGCTAGTGCGATCAATAAATAAGGAGAAAATAAATAAATAACCGCGCGCACGCCCCGCCACGCAGGTTAGGAAAGGCGTCTCCTGCCTTTCCCTCTGCTTGACCTTTCTCCGCCCCCGCCCCCTCGGGCTCCTCTCGCTCCACCCCAGCCACCCACCAGCCCCGGCGCAAAATGTCACCGAGGGAGAGCATCCAGGTGGATCTGCCGGGGAGGAGAGCGAGCCTCGGATGAACAAAGGGAAGCTTCACGCGCTGGGCTGCGGTGGTTTGGTGGAGGAGAGGAGGAAGGGGACCCGCGCCTTGCTTCTGCCTCCCGAGTCCCGGTTCAAGGCGAGCGTGGGAAAATGGGGGGAAAGAGAGCGAGAGAAGCTGGGAAGGAGGGTGAGCGGAGAGGAATGCGCAGGAATTGGTTGTCTTCTGGGGGCGACTGGAAGGCAAGACCTGCAAAGCCCCGAGGCGGAATTTTTAAGTGCATTTCCTCTTTCTCTTTTTTATTTATTTTCCATACCAGTTTGTTAACGTTGCAGGGGTTAATATGCCATCTATCCAACTTGCCAAGAAGTCAGAGAGTCTCCTCGGTCGAGGTCTTGCCACAACTCCTTTTCCCGTCCTTTATGAATGACAGAGGGATGTGGAGCCCTTTTCTAAATGTCATCGTCAAGGGGCGTGCGTCTCTGAGAGTGTGTGTCCCCTTCAGCCTCCCTGCGCATCGCTGTGCATATTTAAAATGGTTAAAGTAGTTAAAGGTGTTCCTATGAGGGGTTACCGACGTGGAAAGACACAGGAAAATTGTCGCGACCAACCGTTTTGTTTTTCGCGTACCCCGCCCCCGAGTCATTAGGAATCATCCTTAAAACCAAACATAACACATACAGCCACTAGATGGCGCGGATGGCGAGACGTTAAATCGGCGCCTAAGGTTTGGATGCTTTAGGAAGGTGAAGGATCAAAATTAACTGGTCCAACAGAGAATCAGATCATATAGACATTCCCAAACGCTCCCACCCACCTTTTTAGTGTCTATATGAGATATACTACTTAGGCTTGAGTCTGCATTTGGATGGTTGTGGGATGAGATGTGTAGTTTCCTTTTGAAATTCCTTTGAAAATTGAATCTAGATTACTGAATCATCATCATCATCATCATCATAGTAATTAAGATCTTTGGCAATACTGAGGCTTCATCTATATTGATTGAGAATAGAAGCCTGATTTCTACCTAAAAGTTGCTTTTCGTGGCTTGGTTTGACTGCCCTTGGTTTGTAAAATAAGTGGACTGTGTTGTACTGTACAGAAATTGACTTTTAAGCCCTAGAGATTATAGGCGTCATGTGTCAACCTTAAAAACTCGAAATGGGATACATCAAAGAAAATATATAAACTAAAAGTGAGTATAGAAAATAACCAAAGGATAAAGAATATCCTTATCATGTACAGGATTTTCTGTAGAGATAAAAAGATATTTTTTGTTTATTTGTTTACAGAATAGAGATTTAAGGAATTCTGTGTTAGTAGTAATGAAGTCAGAGCTAATGCACCATGTAAGTTTGAGAACATGGAACTGAAGACACCTGCTGTTTATCTATTTGTATTTGTTTACGAGAATGATGCCTGTTAACCAATCTATATAGCCTGCATACGTGAAAACAAACACACAAACATGTTACCTGGAAACGGAAATGAGGGGCTTACCTACCAGTTAATATAAGAAAATCAACCTCTGCTTAGTCCAGACAGTAATGTGGCACTATGACAGGTGCTGGGCATGGAATCCAGAGGGTGGAAAGCCATGAATATTTAATCAGTGACAATAATGTCATGCCTTCCTGTAAAGACAGGGCAAGGAACCTAAATAGAGTCTTTAAAAACTGTGTAGGAAACTGAATACTTACAAATGTAAAAGTAGGGGTTTAACTTTACAAAAGCCCCGAAGAAGCAAGAACATAATATATGCGGTTTTTAAGAAGGTATTGGGATCTGCCCTCCCCCATCTTCAACAAGCTTCTTGATATAGTGGAAAGAATGTGGGCTGAGAACTTAAACACATCTAAATTCAAATTCTTGCTTAAGAAATTACTTACTGGCTTTGTTTCATTTGGCAAATTACTTAACTTCTATGATTAGAAATTGTAGATAATGAAATTTAACTTTTCAGGCCTGTTGTCAGGATTAAACAGGATCATACTTCTGAACACCAGTGAAATCCTTAGCACATGGAGTGTACTCAATATTAGTACACATGGAGTGTACTCAAAATTAGTTTTATTGTAATGCATAATACTATGCAATTCATTTTATCCAGCCCATATTTGGAATTCCATAGATACTTTTGCATAGTTATGTGTTTCTTAATGACAGAGATACATTCTGAGAAATGTATCTTGAGATTTCATCACTGTGTGAATATCATAGAGTGTACTTACCCAAACTTAGGTGGCATAGCCTACTACTCACTCATGCTATATGGATAGCTTATTGCTCCTAGACTACAAACCTGTACGTCATGTTACTGTACTGAATACTGTAAGCAATTTGTAACACAATGGCAAGTATTTGAATCTCTAAACATATGTATACATAGAAAAAGTGCAGTAAAAATATGGTATAAAAGATTTTAAGTATGTTACACCTTTATATGGCACTTACTATGAATGGAGGTTACAGAACTGGAAGTTTGTCTGGGTGAGTCAGTGACTAAGTGGTGAATGAATGTGCAGGCACAGGACTTTACTGTACACTTCTGTAACCTTTTAAATAGTGTATACTTAGGCTATGCTAAATTTATTTTTTAAATTGTATTCTTTCATCAATAATAAATTAACTTTAGCTTTCTTTAACTTTTTTACTTTAAAAACTTCAATTTTTAAGGCTGGGCGCGGTGGCTCAAGCCTGTAATCCCAGCACTTTGGGAGGCCGAGGCGGGTGGATCACGAGGTCAAGAGATCAAGACCATCCTGGTCAACATGGTGAAACCCCATCTCTACTAAAAATACAAAAAATTAGCTGGGCATGGTGGTGCATGCCTGTAATCCCAGCTAATCAGGAGGCTGAGGCAGGCGAATTGCCTGAACCCGGGAGGCGGAGGTTGCGGTGAGCCGAGATCGCGCCATTGCACTCCAGCCTGGGCAACAAGAGCGAAACTCTGTCTCAAAAAAAAAAAAAAAAAAAAAAACAACAAAAAAAAAACTTCCATTTTTAACTTGTTGACTCTTTTGTAATAACACCTGAAAATACAACACACTGTGCAGCTGTACAAAAATATTTTATTTATGTCCTTATTTGTAAATTTTTGTCTATTTTTGCACTTTTTTTACTTTATAAATGGTTTGTTAAAAACTAGGACACAATTACATTAGCACAGACCTACACATGGAGCAGGATCATCAGTATGAATGTTTTCTATCTCCACATCTTTTCCTACGGGATGTTCTTCATTCTGTTTCAGGGACAGTCACGTGCCTGGAGCTGTCATTTCCTTTCATACTGATGACTTCTGGAATACTGCTTGAAAGACCCTGCTTCAGGCTGTTTTACGTTAACTTTCTTTTGTAAGTAGAAGGAGTACACTCTAAAATAATGATTAAAAGTATGGTATAGTAAATATATAAACCAGTAACATAGTTGTTTATTATCTTGATAAAGTA